CCGAGTACATGACAGCCTCGCCGAACGAAACCTGGAGGACGTCTTCTCAGAAAACCCCGTGCATTCACGGCTGGCTCTCGCCTGCACAGACTCAGCTCTTTACATGCTCCAAACCTGCCTGGAGATTCATCGTTCCCATTTACTCCTAGGAAACATGTGCATCCTAAAGTGAGTTGTACACACGACTTAAACTACTGCACATGCTAAATAACACTATTCATCAGAGCCTTCATCTTCGCTGCAGCTCTCGTTGTCGGGTTTTCGCTCTTTTCGCAAAAAGACCCAATCCCCGACCTCGAAGAAGCCTTCACTGGCGCCATCGACATCCTCCACATGTTCTCCCAGCAGTCCGCCCAAGCGGGCCACTACTACGAAATACTCTCCTTTCTCCGCAACGCTATTGCCGAACAACGCCAAAGACTCTCGAACCAGGACCAAAGCAGCAAAAGCCAATATGTGAGCAAGCTTTTCAGCTTGCATGGCCGTAGGGCGTCACGCCAGATAGACGGCGGGGTCACCGTTAATCTAGCCACACTGCCGAGTCCCTTTGATATCAATAGCGTCCCTCTGGAATGGGAGGGCATGGAGCTACCTTTCTGGGATAGCTTCCCCTTCACAGAAGAAACACTTCCACTGCAAGACAGAACGAGTGATATGAACCCACTCTGAATGCATCATTCTGTACGTACTAGCATGAATACTGCATTGTATGAAGTCCAAACTGCTAATCGTCTGTTTAATTTGCGCTTCCATTTGATATTGAGAATTGCGTACAGTTCTGGCAAACCGTCATGATGTATCACTAGTGGCTCAGGATCCTAAATAGAGAGTTCAACAGTCCACCAGATTCGATTTGGCCATCAAACCTCTATCTATCTATAAATAGACTTCTGGTTATTTGGGTCACAATCAAGAATATCCGGATTGTTTCTTAACATTATGCTCTTCTGGATATTCGACAGTCTAGGCTCAGAGTCGGCTCGTGTCGATTTGCGTCTCAACCCCTTTATTGTATAAATTCTACCTTATAAGGTACAGTTTCGCCTTTCAGCCGGATATTAATCCATAGTATGCTGATGAAATTCCACATTTTTCATTTTCTATACCTATTTGGGAAATACATAAGGCTTCATTTCTACCGGTTCAGGTAAGTTGTAGGACAGGTTTTGTTCTGAAACAGATGATCTCATTCTGAGACATCACATTCATACAGTGGCCCCACTCTATATTACTGGGTATACTGCTATTAGATGGCCTCATCTTTTTAGTTCTACTAAGTCTAGGAAGGTGAATAACCTGTAGCATATCCAAAGCTGTTGTGTACTGGTTGGATTCTTGTCTAAATATGCGACTCATAAATACCTTAGCAGGCTTCTCTCCTCATACTACGAGATCCTCTAACTATTGTTACTAGGCCGCAGAGACGTGTTAAATCTCGTACTGAGTGAATTATTCTTTGAAGTTTTCTCCACCTTGTTCTCCGCTATCATCATTTTCTTTTCTTGTGTTGCCTGGTAGTCTCCTCTTCAATAAAGCGATTCAACTTTGAAAGTGAGTGCCTTCCAACTCTTGTTCCCTCGACAGGCGTTGTCTGATGGCTGTCAATATCGATATGGAAGGTCCATTTCGGTATCATTGGATGAACTTCCCGGTTAGAACACACCTGTTTTCTCATTCTATCTTCCATTCCTCGTCAGAATATCATCTTCTCCAGCACTCGTATTTTCTCTTTCATTGACAAAGGCATCTCTCTACCTGCCCATCATTCGCCAATGATCTTCTGCTGACCTATCAGCAACCGAAGAGCTATCGAAAGGCCCTCAAATGCTTCTCGGGTACCACCATGGCCTTCAAGGAAGGCTCCAACTCAGTCGTCGACTTTCGTCCTCTTTGCAATCCTCAGAGGCAGAAAATCTTCTATAATTTGCAGAAGATAATTACTACATGTCTCGTGTAGACTTCGAGGACCTCGAAAGCATCAATACGCCTGTTACGGTCGAGACTCGTCAGTCTCGAGCTCCCAGGTGCGATTGCCATAAGGCTACTGGCCAATGAGAGCCTGGAAAAAATACCTTTTCAGAAGGAACAAGCCACCAGAGAGTTCTATCGTACTGCCTTGCAATGATCAAGCCCTACGGGAGGTACGTTGTTTTCTATATTTCCTGCTTTCTTCGATTGTTGACGGACCCTGACCTCTTGGAATGTAGAGACGGGTGGTATGCGTCGGGCAATAAAGACCACAACTTCAATTCTTCAGAAACACAGACTTCGCTTACATCGCGCATGTTATCTGCACCCAGTCGAACAACGTTTCGGGTTCTATCTCGGCTGCATGTACCCTCGCCTTTTGAGGTGACATGGTGCAATCAAGGAACTGTACAACATTTCTTCCTGCGAAACAGTTGCAGACACCGTTGATAACAATTCTCGGCGGCATAGTGGGAGGAAGAGAAGGAATCTGTTGAAGATCATATCTTCTCTAATTATGGATATGTAACCCTAGACTGACGAGTACATCGTCCGGACACCCTTTTAGCGTAGTGGTATTGTATGTCTATAGAAAGCAAAGATCTTGATCCATAGGGAAGCGACGACATAGCCATCAACTTTCTAGAGGTCGAATACGACTGTCTCATTATTGCGAGCGACGTCTGCTACCTGGACTCTCAAATCCATGTACCGATTTTACGTAGGACCTTTGCGAGATACTACAGGCCATATGGCTATTTGCACGTATGCACCTTTGGCAGAAGCATACGGCATTTCTCTGCTGATGCGCTGGAAGAAAGCTTGCTTATCAAAGACAAGTCCGATTTCTGACACTCTTCGAGTATTCCTTGTTTCCGAATGAACATTGTGTAAGCACTGGAACAAATCTTATTCACCTTAGACAAGCTACTCCTCCTGATAGTGCAGTCTATCTGTACCGTGAAACCATGAAGATGTTGGTTCTATGACGGCACAACCTGTCTGCAATACAAAGAATATGAACATACCCTGGGGGAATGTAGCCTTCTCCATGGGCCATATAGACTGTCACCAAAGGCGTAATTGCCCTCCATCGAGCAAAGGAGACTATGAGAAAAAAAGGCCGAAAGGGCAAGATCTTTAGCCTCTTCAATCCGTTCAAATTCAAAACAATCTGAGAGCAGCATCGGCGTCTAATTTGTGAACGTCAATATAGTAAAAGTGATCTGATTGAAGTACTCGTATAACAGGCATCGCAATCTCTTACAAAGGCCACAAGTATGATTACTCCCAGAATGGAGTCAACACTGGATGTGGCCTTTCGGGGTACGGAGTAATGCACCGCGAGATGCCTCGGGTTAGTCTACGCCGACACGGCGTAACCATACAACGTATCCAGTATATCTAGAGGGGAAACGAGACTCCACTCTCAGTTTCGCGAATGATAAATGTGAGCGTGTTACTAACAAATCTCAGGTCGTTCAAGATGACAAGTTTTCACGAAGATCGCTCCTTTCTCCGGGATAAATACCTGCGCCTGCCTGGAAAGTCTCAGACACGAGTTTCACAGGGACCAGAAGACAAGACTTCATAATTACTACGGAGATACGACTCAGAAATTACACCTCCAATAATGGCCATGATTTGGATTATGTTAAGCCGTGGAGGCAGAAATAATGTAGAGCGGAGCGGTAGTGTGTACGACTCTGAATACGAATCCCTGCATTCTGTCAGCCAGGTGACTGGTGACTCATGATCGACCGTCACTATTAGCACCTCACCACGTAGTTTTGTACAATATACTAGAGGTCACCATCCATCAACAACACCATGCCTAAATTCTACCCTTCGATCTCCCCAGACCTCCGCGACTGGGCTCTCCGCCAGAGCGTCTTCTTCGTGGCCTCGGCCCCCCTCCGCGGCAAACACGTCAATCTCTCGCCCAAGGGCCTACCCGATGCCTCATTCGCCATCCTCGGCCCCAACGAAGCAGCGTACATTGACGCAACAGGATCCGGCAACGAGACCATCTGCCATCTGCGAGAGAATGGCCGGATCACGGTCCTTTTCTGCTCCTTTGACGCTGCTCCGCGCATCCTGCGCTTCTTCTGTACTGGCTCGGTGATAGAATGGAACCAGCCTGAGTTCGCGACGTATCTTGAACGCATGGGGAGCAAGAGCGTCATCGGGGCTCGAGCGATTATCCGGTTGGATGTTTACAAGGTCTGATTACTGCAGTGCCAATTGTCTTTTTGATTGGGAGTACACTGGTCGTGAGGACCATTTAGCTAAATCACTAAACACTTTGTTCGTTGCAGGTCCAAACCTCCTGCGGGTACGGGGTCCCGCAACTGGCCCTCAAACTCGACCCAGAGACTCACGAGCCCAAACCGTATTTCAAAGACCGCGAGACGCTGGGACACTTTGCCAGCAAGACGGTTGAGAAGGGCCAGCTCCGCTCGTATCAGCAGCAGTGGAATGCGAGCAGTTTGGATGGCTTGCCGGGGTTGTGGTCTGCGATGGGGGATAACGGGGAGTATGTGTGGGTGGGACGAATGCGGAATTGGTTCCGTCGTCATGAAGAGGAGATTGAGGTTGTCAAGACGTCGTTGCTGTGTTTGTTTTTTGCTATGACTGTCCTTCACTGGATGGGGTATGATTTGAGGTAGATATGAGGTACAGTAGCTCGTACTAGTAGCTCACAGAGTATTAGAAACAAAAAGGGAGCGTTGGCATGACTGAACTGTACAGCGTTTTTGACAAATGGTAGCAGACGAACCAACTGTCTTTATTGCTGTATGTTGGCATGGCGTCATACTGCCAGTGAACTAATAGTACTGCTACAAGATATCCAAGGTAGATAGATGGCTTCACGTCGAGGTGATTGCTGGCATCGCTAATCTTGATTCAAAGGACTAAATGCTACTATCTGAGAGTCCTCATCCTTGAAAGCATTTCAAGCCTGAACGTGATAAACAAAAAAAAATTCGTTAATCAGAGTAATTTTGGTCGGAAGCGCAGTGTTACTGGCTTCAAGGGAACGGGCAATCGCTTGTTTGGATGTGCACTGTCTTGACCTGAGTATAGTTCTCAAGAGCATAAGAGCCGAGTTCACGGCCAAGACCAGATTCCTTGTAGCCACCGAATGGTGCCTGGGGATAGATCATATTGTAATTGTTGACCCAAACTGTTCCGGCCTTGATGGCGTTTGATACACGAACTGCTGTATTGACGTTTGTGGTGTGGACAGCAGCGGCGAGACCTGTCCATAAGGTTAGCATGGATAAAGGCAGTTGCATATCTGGATACACCTACCATAGTTTGTGCTATTAGCAAGCTTGATGGCCTCCTCCTCGGTGCTGAATTTCTGCACTGTGCAAACAGGGCCAAAAATCTCCTCCCGAACAATCTTCATCTCGCCGTTGACGTCCGCAAAGATAGTGGGTTTGATGAAATACCCCTTGTCACCAAGGCGTTCTCCGCCGGTGACTACTCTTGCACCAGACTGCTTTCCATCTTGAATGTAGCCCATGATGCGATCGAACTGAAGCTGCGAAACCTGGGGTCCTTGGAATGTCTGGGGATCAAAGGGATCGCCGACTTTGTTCTGTTCTGCCCGCTCCTTGAACCGAGCCAGGAACTTCTCGTAGATCGACTCGTGGACAAGAATACGGGATCCCGCACAGCAGCACTGGCCATGGTTGAAATAGATTCCAAAAGACGCCCACTTCAAAGCCTATAATTTGCAGAAACTTGATGTTAGAAAAACCCAAGAAAGAAATGTGACGCCCGTTATGAGGATGCGGTTTGCGAGCACTGAACGGGGCGCCGAATTCATGGGATTGGACTTACATTCTCAATGTCTGCATCGGCAAAGACAATGTTGGGAGACTTCCCACCGAGCTCGAGAGTCACCTTCTTGAGGTTGCTCTTAGCGGCGGCCTGGAGGATGTTACGGCCGACAAGGGTGGAACCAGTGAAGGCAACCTTGTCGATGTCCATATGGCTAGAAATAGCAGCTCCAGCAGTACGACCGAAGCCAGAAATAATGTTGATGACGCCCGGGGGGAAGCCAGCTTCCTTGATCAACTTAGCCGCATAGAGGGCGGACAGGGGGGTCTGCTCAGCGGTCTTGAGGACCACGGTGTTACCAGTTGCGACAGCAGGACCGATCTTCCACGACCACATCAACAGGGGGAAGTTCCAGGGAATGATCTGACCGCAGACACCAATGGGTTCGTGACGAGTGTAGGTGAGCGTCTCAGGGTTGATGTCAATGGTCTGGCCGTGGATCTTGTCGGCCCAGCCAGCATAGTAGCGAATGCAACCGGCAGCATTCGCTACATCCATCTTGGCTATGGTGAAGGCCTTGCCGTTGTCAAGAGCCTCAATAGCAGCGAGGGTCTCGATATCACGCTCCATCAGATCGGCCAGCTTAGTAAGGAAACGGCCACGGTTAGAGGGGGTAACCTCTTTCCAGGAACCCTCGAATGCCTTGCGAGCAGCGGCAACGGCAATGTCGACATCCTTCTCAGTAGCTTCGTGGACAGCAACAATGGGCTGCTCCGTGGCGGGGTTAATGGTCTCGAAGGTCTTGCCCTCAGCACCCTTGACGAACTCATTGTTGATGAACCTAGGAACGAGAAGCAATTAGAACGACATGAATAAATAGAGGAGCGAAGATATAATGCAGGGAAAACTTACAAACCCAAGGGCTGCTCATATTTACCCTGGGGGGTCTCGATAGTGGCGTAAAGGTCAGACATGGTGGGTGTATATGACGATTGTGAGGAGTAGCGGGTATCACTGAGACAGAAAGAGAGGAAAAGACACTCCTTATTATAGGTAAAAGAGTAAAGACGGCAAGCTGTATGGAGCTGTTGCCGGTAAGGAGGAGGGGCAAAAGGGAGGTGAACGAGGGGAAGCCCAACGGAGGCGATACGTAACAGGATCCAGTAAGATTACCGCATGGATTGAAGGAACTCCTCTAGGACCCCGCTCTGTTGCGGGGTTGCTGCTTTGCCTCTGCCGTTTCGTTTCTGTGCCACTCATAAGTCGCATATCACTGTAACTGGGTGAAGAAGTGGAGACCTGCAGCTACCTAGTGGTATCTAGCTCTGGTTGCTCAGCACGACATTTCTCTTCTGGACAGGCGGAGAGATTTTCGCCCGAGAAACTAGGCCCAGCTCTACTGATGAATCTTAAACAGACAACGCGAAAAAAGAACTGGCAGATAGGGGGAGCAATGAAGGCATACAGTGTATGCTCACCGGCAACGGATAGCTCTCGTAATTACCGACGGTATCACAACGGCATGGGTTGGAGGTTGTACTACATAAAATGAAGCTTAATGGCAGAAACCCCATAGACACTGTCAATGGTTATCTGTCCTTAATCCACAATGGACAGGACTCCTCTACCACACTCCCACGCTAGTCTACAGAGTACTGCATATTACGGGACCCCCTAGAAGATTTGACGGGCGGAAGTTTTACCGAACCAGGAAAGATGCGCAGCGAAAACTATTCCAGGCCTCGGGGAGACGATCACGAATGCACCGAAGGCAGACGTTTGGGCTGGGTTGCTTACCAACGGACTTAACGGAGCCCGGATACTTTCTTCTTGTCATGAACACTTGCGAGAAGAACGGTATCTAAGGAAAACCAAATGCCAATCATTGTGCTCAGTGCTCCGAATAGGATTGTTTCCTCGGATGCATAGCGTCATCAAGGGGGGGGTAGCTGGCACCTTAAACGGGAAATGTCCAGCCGAGGCAAGGCGAGGCTAACCAGCCGCAGCAAAACTACCTTAACCCCACTTCACCCCCAAGAAGTACCTGAAGTTCTAGGCAACAAATCACAATCATGGATACTGAGGTATCACTAGATAATGGATGCGGTTTAATAATGTGGAATTACAGCTGTTCAACAGTTCAGAGCTTCATGCTTCGAGCCCCGCCCAACAACTAATCATGAAATTGCTACCCCTCTATATGGTGTGTCAGAGTCTAGTTAGTAGTGGACGGGTTCTCGCCAATAAGGTCCTTCACGAGGCTTTAATCTTATATTCTAGCTTCATCTCCTGGTTTCGAATCCTGATGATCACCTCCATTGATTGGAGTCGGTCAACTTCTAAGATCCCGACTCTAAGCTACTTTGCCTTTCACCGTTTGCTGCACCTACCTGAACATGCATCGGTTTCCCAGAGCAACCTTGAACCATATGCGAACCTAGCTAACGTTTGATAATTAATGCCCAGAGGAGAGATAGTTGGACCTAGAAGTGCTTGGGAAGGTAAGTTCTAGACTACTAATTGAATGATCTGCATGAAGGACCTCCCTGAAGACGAAAGTAGTGATACGAGTCGACACCTTGACACCTGGCACTATGCTCCATAAAAGTAACTACCACATGTCTCCACTGTCCAGTGTCCCTCTAACTACCCCTTAAATGATTGACGGCACTGGAGTCCTGAATCATGTCTCCTTTTCTGCTGGCGTGCTGAACCTAGACTGATCGGCCTTTCGTGCGCTATGACGACACATATCAACATTAGCTAATTTTCATGAAAACCAATGCCTGTCCCAAGCTTATTGAAGATGTCAGATTTTCTAATGAAAGCCTGAAAGACCCAAGAGATCTATACTCAAGCTAGGTTGAAGCTTCTCCAGCTGGCTGGCAAAGGCAACGTTAGAAGCACTCCATCAATCGTATTAAAACATACTCTGTATGCTTGGTTTAAAGTCGAATTCCATTGTCTCATGCTTGAGTGAACTAGCAAAGCAGTTGTTAGATTTATGGACCTGACACCCAGCCCTTCACCTACTGTTCTACACGCTCGGGAAGATGCAAACCAGCGCATGTGGCCTTTCAAACACTTCTGTGGATAATATACAGGGAAAACATTAGGCCGTATAGATAAATGGCTCAGAAGAGGTGGTTGGCCTCAGTCAACCAGAGAATCAATGAAGCTGTGCATGACATCGGAAACTTATGAGCTATATGAAAGCGAATTTCTGGGGGTGTTGCTTGCCATTGAGCCAGCTTCTATGCTAAGCGAGTTAATTGACGAGTGGGGCGCTCGCTTGGTTTTGGTACAAGATTCCGGATCGCACTTACAGAAGTTTGATATGCAGACGGTTAACACGAGAATGAGGCACAAGGATAGAGAGTTATGTTCAAAGGCATGAAGGCTTGATAGTGTTAATGCAGATGCATTACCCCAGATTGTATGCTCAGATGCTGACGCTAACCCCGCATTCCAGACCGAGGACCGAGCCATCTTCCCTCGGTGCTCCATCCGAATCCAACCAGATACAATCAATTTATACACCACAACATCAGTTGATTCTTTTGACCATGTGTCTCTGGCTTTTGGATAGAGCAGAGTTTGCTGGTCAAGTCTGCTCAATAACTTTGAAAACTGCTTGCTGTATCAGAATTAGCCTCACAGACCGGCACGATGAGGACTCGCCCTATTCGCATCGCAGGTGAGTTGGTGATCTGTGACCGTGCTCGATGTGTTGATACTGACTGAATAAGGTGCTTCGGGCTCTGCCTCTGACCGGCGCCATGCCATTGCTGAATTTGCCCACAATTATCCTCAAGACCCAGTCGATGTGATCATCGCGGACTTCATGAGTGAAGCCAACATGGTCACAGGGGCAGCACGGAAGGTTGGCCAGCTGCAAGCACAGAGTAAGCAGGATGCAGCTATGCCGGGATATGAGCCATCTTTCCTGCTGGCCCTAGAACCGGCGCTGGAGGATTTGGCGAAGCATGGGATTAAGCTGGCCGTCAATGCGGGAAATTCTGATACTGAAGCGTTGTACAAGGTAGTAGCGCAAATGATACAAGCCAAAGGGTTGAAGTTAAAGGTTAGTAAATATTTCTTGCTTGCACTGAAGGCATGCACTGATTGTGTACAGGTCGCTTGGATATCAGGCGATGAAGTTCTTCCTACTATCAAGAAATCTTTATGCTCTGGCAAATCCAAGTTTAGCAACGTCTACACGGGCGAGACACTCTCCGAATGGTCATTTGAGCCGATATACGCTCAATGTTACCTGGGAGGTCTCGGAATCGCCGAGGCTTTCGCTCAAGGAGCCGACATTGTTCTGTGTGGACGGGTATCAGACGCATCGCCCGTGATTGGTGCAGCGTACTGGTATCACGGATGGGACCGTAGTGACCTGGATCAATTGGCAAACGCATTCGTGGCTGGCCATCTCATTGAATGCAGCACTTACGTCTGTGGCGGCAACTTTACGGGCTTCAAAATGCTGGAGAACGCCGGTGGTGATGGCTGGACCAACATCGGATATCCCATTGCGGAGATCTCGGCAGACGGCCAGGTGGTCATCACGAAGCAATCATACTCTTCCGGTGGTGCTGTCACCGTCGACACATGTTCCTCGCAACTGCTATACGAGATCCAAGGCCCGTGGTACTTCAACTCAGATGTGACTGCCATACTGACGGACATCCATTTCGAACAACTGGGTGTCAACCGCGTTGCTTTGCGCGGCGTTCGCTCTGCTCCTCCCCCGCCAACCACAAAGGTCGGCATCACTGCCCGTGGCGGGTTCCAGGCTGAAGTATCCTGGTTCCTGGTCGGATTAGACATCGCGGCCAAGGCGAGGATGCTAGAAGACCAGATCCGGCACCTCCTCGCGCCGTACTCGTCCAGTTTCTCGGCCTTGAAGTTTTCCACCTTAGGCTCGTCTCCGGATGACCCCAGAGATCAAGATAGCGCTACCGTCACCTTCCGAGTCGTCGCACAGGCTCGTAGAGCCGAAGACCTCGCCCCCTCCCAATTCCTCCGTCCCATCACGGACAATATCATGCAGGGATACCCCGGCGCCACCTTCCACCTGGACCTGCGTCAAGGTTTTCCCAAGCCCGTCCACGAGTACTATGTCACACTCCTGCCTCAAGAGGACATCAAGCACCAAGCCCACCTCCCTTGGAAGAATCAAGTCATCGATATCCCTCCTCCCCCGACGACCCGCCAATACACACCCCGACAGCCCTCGCAGGCCATCACACACACCCCCGCCAATCCGCAGGTAGATTTCGGACCGACAACCCGTGGCCCTCTAGGCTGGATTGTCCATTCACGCTCCGGCGACAAAGGCCCAGACGCCAACTGCGGGTTCTGGGTGCGCCATAACGACGAGTATCTCTGGCTCCGCTCGTTGCTTTCCACCCCGAAAGCGAAGGAGCTCCTGGGTGATGCGTATAACGCGAATCCAGAGTTAGAGATTGAACGGTTCGAGCTACCGAATCTACGGGCTGTGCATTTCTTGTTTCGGAATCTTCTAGATCGGGGCGTTGCGGTCACGACCACGGTGGATTTCCTGGGGAAGAATGTGGCGGAGTATTTACGGGCGAAGTGGGTGGATCTGCCTGTGAAGTTTTTGAATAGGGGGAAGTTGTAGGCGTGGATGTGGCGTTATAGTCTCCTACAAAACCCTGTTCAGATGAGGGTTTCATGAGCGTCGAGATCAAAGCACTGTGAAGAATGTTCCCTCAAACATAAGATCTGTAATTGCCTGAACGCCATAGAGATGCAACACAGCTGATAAGACGCGCATTCGCTTCGTAAGGATTGAAGCAGAAAAGAGATTCAAAATAGGATGTTATTCCCAGCCCTCAATATCATGCCTGCCATCAATAGTTTTACCTCCGTCTTCTGGAACTCGGCATAGGCTCGAAAGCGTCACTGTCATCGTCGATATCACCACTGGCCACGCTAGCAGCTCTGG